TTACCTCTGCAAAGAATTTATTTCAAGTAAAGTCAAATAAGGTTACGTTCTGAGGTCATGGGGTTGGAACTTCAATCTATGAATATTTGGGGGAACACAATTCAAACTTTAGCAGTAGGATTACTTCTTCTCTATTCCCAAAGGTGACTTTTCCCCTCAAATGAAAACTTAAAGAACAGAATGCCATTAGCTCATGAGACGCCTATGGGCAAGAAATATCATCTTGTTTTATAATGAAGTTCACTGTCACCCCTCACACAAAGTATATCCCAACCTGACTCTGTGGAATTATGGTGAATTATATTTGGGAACTAAATCCTGTTACCAGATGAGTTCATAAGTTCTTAGGAGCATTTAGAAACCAGTCCATATTTTAACATAATTCATTTGAGAGGCAGAGCAACTGACACAGAGAGGTGGAGACAGGAGAGAGAGGTCTTCCATCTCCTGGCTATCTCCACAAATGGCCATAAAGGCAGGAGCGAGGAGGAGCGAGGCCAATCCAGAGCCAGGAGCCAAGAGCTTCTTCTGGGTCTCCCATATGGTCACATGAGCCCAAACACTTAGTCCATCCTACACTGACTTCTCAGGTCAAAAGCAGAGAGCTGGATCAGAAGAGGAACTGCAGGGAACTCAAATCAATGCCCATATTGATGCCGGCAACTGTAGTCAGAGGCTTAACCTACTCCACCACAGAACTGGCCCTAACTGTCCATTTTTACAGGTTAAACCAAGAAGTCTTTTTTCAGACTTCATTCATTTGAATGCATGTGCTAAAATAATTCCAATGGCATTGGGGTTGGATGTTTAATATGTTGGTTAATTTGCCTGCAGGGAGTGCAGTCCCTTCTAATTTTGTATCAGGAAGGAAGGCAATTTGTGGGTGATGGGTGATTTCTTTGACAACCAGGGCATTATTTGGCAATTAGAAGACTTTTCTAGCTGGCTCACTCTTTTGAATAGCCTGAAATGGATTAGAAACTTCTCAGATGTTTATTGAATGAGTTGAAATGTCCAAGGAAATTGGATGATAGGAGAAAAGCCTAAAAAGCCATATGTTTTCAGTGATTTACAGTATACCCTGCTTTGGCTGCATGTTGTGGGAGACTGCACTGTGTCTAAGCATTGCAGTTGATTTCTTTCTGAGAGGAGGAGCATGGTGGGGGCAAGAGGTGCAGAGTCACCACACAGACCTCGGGAGTCAGGTGAAAGCAGGCCTGCAGCAAGCAGCTTGCAGACTCATTTATTTCAGTTGCTACAGCTTCTTATATAGCCAAGGCAGCCAATCCAGTGAAGGGGTTGTCTATACCCTAACCAATCACAGCCTGTTGCCAGTCAGGCTCTGTTGCCAGGCAGTTTCTGTTGTCAGTGGCCATCTTGGCATGACCTTCTCACCTTCTCATGACCTTCTCACCTTCTCATTCCACCATATCTGATAGCAGTAGCAATTTTTTGTGCTTCCTGTGAGCCAGACATTCTGCGTACATTTGTTTTTCATTCTCTCTTTTACCCTGTGAGTTAGGCACAGTGGTTCTATTTTTTATGTAAGTAAACTGAAGCCAAAATAAACCAAGCAGCTTGATGATATAAATTTAGTTGTACCCTAATCATTGTACCTAGACTGGTTGACTTGTAAAACTGCTTTCTTGTGGGAAGAAAACATAGTTAGGACAATTAGTAAATATTACTTAAGAGGCTAACTTTATAGTATGACTCATTTGCTAGGTATTTGTGTGCTGGAAGCATTTCATAAAGTGTGGAGTTATGTCATGGCTAAGTATATGTTCTATGGATTTAAATGTTGGGATTGGATCCATTCTTATGTCTGTCAATGTGGACATGTACCTTTAACAAGAGAGAGAATAATCAATGTTCTGATTTTATCTAGAAAAGTATAAAATATCAAAACATATAATATACAACTAACAATAATATCTAACATTAATAATATCTAACAACACTAGGTATACGCTGTCTGTATGTTAATTTTGTTGATCAAATCAGCCTATGAAATAAATATGATAACTGTCTTCATTTTACAATGATGGACAATGACATGTAGTTTTACATTTTGCCTAAGGTTACACAAATTGTAATTGATAGAGCTAGAATTTGAATCTGAAAACCTTTCTAGTTTGACTGTCAATATCTGATAGGATGACACCATTGATATGCCATATGTTCTTCCACCTCAGAGCTTTTGCCTGTGTTCTTTCCTTTGCAAGAACATATTTACATCCCTCTCTTATAGCAATAGGTGCCTACATCAAGAAACTGGAAAGGCACCAAATAAATGAGCTATCAATGCAACTTTCTGTGGTAACTCTTAATCATTTTGAAGTAGAGCATCACTATCTGCTTTCTGGAGGCATTCTTTTACCCTCTTGGAACAGGACAGCTTCTCTGATCATGCAGTGCCCTTGCACCTGAACTCTTTCAAACCAGCCATCACTCATGCTAGCTCCATTATGTCTTTATTGGCTGCCCATCTAGAAGGCATAGTAATGGCAGTCATATTCTTCACTTAACCAGTACCATGCCTAGTATTTCCTACTTACTGTTTACCTGGCACTATCTGATCTTCACTTGTATCAAGCAGGAGTTAGTGAAGAGATAAATTTAATGCTAATTGATAAATGCCATCTGTGGATCCCTTCTTTATTCATTTCTACCAGACTTTTAAATTTCATTTTATACAATCAAAATAAATTCAAGCAGAAAAATAACTAAGGTATAATTAAATTACTTTATTTTTGAGGAAGATATCTATACATGTTTGAATTATTATTAAAAGATATTCTCTTTCATACTTAGAAGAATGAAAAGCTGTAAACAGAATTACTTCCTTTCCCACTATTTCACTTACATATTTATTTCCTAATTTTCTTTTATATGAGGGGCCTTCAAAAAGCACATGGAAATGCATTTTATTTCAATAAGTATATATAGACTTAAAAATATTTGTACCAAAATAAACTTACCTTTTAATTCCATTTTCCATCTGGAGTACCTTCATAGGCCTATTTGTGAGTCTTATTTACAGTTATAATCTGGCAGCCACTCTAGTGTGTTTTTACTTATTTCCCTCCCCCCGCTTAATGTTGTGCACCATCAGTCTGTTTTTTAAGATTCATTTTATTTATTTGAAAGACAGTGTTATGGAGGGAGAGAGAGAGAGAGAGAAAGAGAGAGACAGAGGGGGAAAGATAGAATTTAGATAGATAAATAGATAGATAGATAGATAGATAGGAGATAGCTTCCAACTGCTTATTCACTCCCCAAATGACAACAACAACCAGGGCTGGAGCAAAACAAAGCCAGAAGCCAGAGTCCTGACATCCACTTCTTTCCCAGGTGTGTTAACAGGGAACTGGATGAGAAGTATAGCATTCAGGACTCAAACCGTGCAGGCAGTGGCTTTACCCAATATGCTACAAGGCCAGTCTTGCATCATCCATCTTAAATTCCTATCCACAATAAATATAAATGATCAGAAAAAACTTTTGCTTGGTTTCAATGCACAGGCCAGAAAAGCATATCAATTGATTTTAATTCCATCCAAGATTAAATATTGGCATGTCTTTTATCCTGCATTGCTTTTTAAGAGACACAAAAAGTTCTTGTATCCTAATTTGATTATTTCAGCGATTTACCCCCTGGCAGTCCTAATTAGAAAGAATAAACAAATTTGTGGTCAGGGGCAACAAGTTACGATAGTTAAATTCACTTTTCCAATAGTTTGAATGTTATTTATTCTCTTTTTTATGCTTTTAAAATATATAAAGTGAACAAATTTCATGTGTTTCATAGATATGTTTTAAGACCATAATGACAGTTTTCACTCTACCCTTACTGTCTCCCTCACTGCTATTCTTCCTCCTTTGTTCCTTATATTTCTTTTAATTTTTACAATGGCAAACTTCTAAGTTTCTTTATAAATCAAAACCTGAATGCTTTACAAATACAGAATTCAAGAAGTAGTAATTAGGAAAAAAAAACCCTAAACTCAAGTGTACAGGTATGGTCTATAAACAATAATCAAATCTGAAAATATCAATTTCTCTCATACACACTACTTTTTTGTACTCTGTATTAATTACAACAAAGCATGGAAAACATATTTTTTTCTTTAAAAAAGATTTATCTGGGGCTGGCGCCGTGGCTCACTTGGTTAATTCTCCCCCTGAGGTGCTGGCATCCCATATAGGCTCTAGGTTCTAGTCCCAGTTGCTCTTCTACCACTCCAGCTCTCTGCTGTAGCCTGGGAAGGCAGTAGAGGATGTCCCAAGTGCTTGGGCCCTGCACCCATGTGGGAGACCAGGAGGAAGCACCTGGTTCCTAGCTTTGGATCAGTGTAGTTCTGGCTGTAGCAGCCATTGTGTGTGGGGGGGGGTGAACCAACAAAAGGAAGACCTTTCTCTCTCTCACTCTCTCTCACTGTCTAACTCTGTCAAATAAATTAATATATATGTGTGTGTGTGTATATATATATATATATATAAAGATTTATTTATTTGAGATGTAGAGTTACAGATACAGAGAAGCAGAGATAGAGGTATTCCATCCACTGGTCCCCTCCCCAAATGGCTGCAACAGCAGGAGCTGAACTGAACCAAAGCCAGGAACCAGGAAGGTATTCGTCTTTTAGAGACTGGGTTATTTCACTAAGCATTACCGTCCCAGAAACATTGTATTAATGTGTCTTTTTCCCCCATCCTAGCTATTGTTATTCTTTGATGATTGATGAAAACCACTCTAACTGGGGTGAGGTGAAACCTATGTCATTTTTATTTGCATTTCCCAGATGGCTGTAATGCTGAGCATATTTTCATCTATTAAAAATAGTGTTCATATCCTTAGTCCATTTATTAACTGGATTGTTTGTCCTGTTCTTGAGTATCTTGAGCTCCTTTTATATCTTGGATATTAATCGTTCATCAAATATAAAATTTGTAAATAATTTCTCCCATGCTGTTGGTTGTTGTTTACTAAGTTGAGTATTTCCTTTGCTGGAAGAAGCTTCTAACCTTGATGTAATCCCATTTGTCTATTTTTGCCTTGATTTCCTGTGCCTCTGGGGTCTTATCCAAGAAGTATTTGCTGATGCCAATGACTTGCAGTGTTTCTGTATGTTTCTCTTTAGTAATTTGATGGCTTCAGGTCTTAGATTGAGATACCTGTTCCATTGGAATTGATTTTTGTATAGGGTGTAAGACAGGTGTCTTGTTTCATACATCTGGGCATTTTGATGGCATTACTTCATCTAATCCATGAGCATGGAAGAATTCTCCATTTGCTGTACTTCCTGTTTTTTCTTTAATATTTCATAATTTGCATTGCAGAAAAATTACACATCATTAGATAAATTTAATGCAAGGTACACACACTTTTTGTAGTTATTGTGAATGACTCTAATAGTCATAAAACACTCAATATTATAATTTGCATTACCCTGTTAGTGAGATTACATGGCTCCACTTGTTTCTCACTACATCTTCCTCTTAAAAGTTAACTCTTCCCTTTCTCTCTGTCTCTCTCTCTCTCACTAACTCTGCCTGTCAAAAAAAATAAAAATAAAAAAAATTTTTTTAAATTAACTCTTTATATTCTATGCATATTTTAAGGAGGATTCATTTTGTTTATATAAGTTCATGGAGGTTTTAATTTAATTTAGGAAATCAATGTCTTCTTAAGTTCATGTCAGCATTCTCTTAGATTTTTTTTCTTGTTTTTAAATATTGTGGAACAGAAGTCTTAAAAATTTTATGTAATTTAACAGTCTTTTCATTTATGTTTAATATTATACAGTTATGGGCCAATAGTAGCTGAAAAATCTAGACTGCCAAATAATACTCTTTATTCATGATTTTATTTAATTGTATGTTCATGCGTATGCATAATTTGTTATATAATATAAATTTTAAAATTTTACATTACGTTTGCTTTTATGTATGTTATATACTTTTAGCCATTTTAGAGTCCATATTAGCTTCACAATTCTTTTTTTTAACTTTTTTTTATTTGACAGGTAGAGTTATAGGCAGTGAGAGAGACAGAGAGAAAGATCTTCCTTCCATTGGCTCACTCCCCAAATGGCCGCTATGGACAGTGCCTGCCAATCCAAAGCCAGGACAAGGTGCTTCCTCCTGGTCTCCTATGTGGGTGCAGGGGCCCAAACACTTGGGCCATCCTCCACTGCCATCCAGGGCCACAGCAGAGAACTGGACTGGAAGAGGATCAACTGGGACTAGAATCCAACTCCAATATGGGATGCCAGTGCCACAGACAGAGGATTAACCAAATGAGCCATGGCGCCGGCCCAGCTTCACAATTCTTAAGAAGCACAAAAATATTCCCCATTTTATAAATCAATTGGTAATTTTGTCCTATTTCCTTGATTCTTTTTTTACAACCATCAATATTTTGAAAATTACTTATTTTCTACAGGATGCAGACAATTCATGTTTTTCAGAAAAATATGGCAATTCTTTGCTAAACACCTAAGCTCTTTATTGTTTAGTGTTGTTCTTTTGATACACGAAAGGAGAAAATAAGGAAGGACAAATGTACTATGTTGTGATAGTCACTCAGGTTTTTTTTCTTGCTTGTGGAATTTTGAGTATGTTGATGACTTCACAAAATGTTCATAGTAAATGCCGGCCATCCCCCAGGGGTTCTAGAACAGAGGGCCTACATGGGGAGCAGATGCACAGTAACTCCCATTGTCGATTTAACAATTGACACTCTTGTTTATGGTGTCAGTAATCACCTGAGGCTCTTGTCATGAGCTGCCTAGGCTATGGAAGCCTCTTGAGTTCACCAACTCTGATCTTATTTAGACAAGGCCATATTCAAAGTGGAAGTTCTCTCCTCCCTTCAGAGAAAGGTACCTCCTTCTTTGATGGCCCATTCTTTCTGCTGGGATCTCAGTCACAGAGATCTTTCATATAGGTCATTTTTTTTTTGACAGAGTGTCTTGGCTTTCCATGCCTGAAATACTCTCCTGGGCTTTTGAGCCAGATCTGAATGCCTTAAGAGCTGATTCTGAGGCCAGAGTGCTGTTTAGGGCATTTACCATTCTATGAGTCTGCTGTGTATCCTGCTTCCCATGTAAGATCATTCTCTCATTTTTAATTCTATCAATTAAATTAAATTAAATTAAATTCTATCAATTAATTTGGCAAATAAGAGCTGTTTGCACCTCAATGTTTATTGCAGCTCAATTCTTAATAGCTAAGGCATGGAATCAACATAAATGCCCATTAATAGAAGACTGGATAAAGAAAGTATGGGATATGTACTCTATAGAACACTATACAGCAGTAAACAAAAATGAAACCCATTCTTTTGCAGTGAAATGGATGAAAACATCATGCTGAGTGAAATAAGCCAGTCCCAAAGGGACAAATATGTTTTCCCTGATCAGTGACAACTAAGTTAGCAGCTAAAAGGAAATCTGTTGAAGCAAAATGGACACTGTGAAAATCAATCAGCCCTTGTCCTGACTGTTGAGGAACAACTTACTATTTTATTCCTTTAAGTATTTTTTGTTCTACTTAATACCATTGGTTTAAATTTTTAATTAACACACAATTATTTTTAGTCATTTAAATTTAACTGAAAAGTGATCCCCTATTACATATAAGAGTGGGAATAAGAGAGGGAGGAGATGTAGAGTCCAGTATATGCTCACTTGGACATACCCCTAATGGTAGAGCTAGAAATGTGCCAGGGGATTCCAATCCAATCCAATCAATGCCACCTTACTTGTAAAAGTGATCAGTTTCAGTTCATAATTGATCGAAAAGATAGATTAAGTGTCAAAGGGATTACATAAATAAGACTAGTGACTGCAAAATAACCTGATTTTTAATCACAATCATTCTAAAGGAAATATGTATCTTGAACTATTCTATTGAAACTTTTGAAAACTGAAGATAAGAGACTCAAAAAATCATAAATGGTAAACATTTGTTAACTGCAAGAATGAATTATCAGAATTATCAGATGAATCTATGATGTCTCTGAAAATGTGTGTCCATGATGATTGCCAGCAAAAACTATAGTCTTTGGATGGAGTTGATGATCTCATACAGAAAAGCCCAACCATGATGACCACACATTCACAGTGCTAGAACTGGCTTACAAGCTATGAACTCAAATGCAAAAGCAAATAAACAGGCTGTTATGAAATAAAATATATTATGGTTGCTATGAAAAAAATGAATAGTTTTAGTAGCAATGATAGAATGCAAAGAAGATAAAAAAACTGTTGAAAACTAGACTATTGGGGCTGGCATTGTGACATAGTGGGTAAAGTCACTGTCTTCAGGGCTGGCATCCCAAATGGGTACCTGTTCAAGTCCTGGCTGCTCCTCTTCTGATCTAGATTTCCCTATTGGGAAAGCACTAGATGATGGACCAATTCTTTGGCCCCTGTACCCACATGGGAGACATGGAAGTCTACTAGGCTGTGGGTTCAATCTGGCTTGGCCATGGCCATTGTCAGAATTTGAGGAGTGAACCAGGGTGGAAGATCTTAAGATCTTTCTCCTTTCTCTCTCTCTCTCTCTCTCTCTCTCTCTCTCTCTCTCTCTCTCTCTCTCTCTCTCTTTCTCTTTCTCCCTCTCTCTCTCTCACACACACACATGCACACACACACTCTTACTTTCACTCTCTGTCTTCCTCTCACCCTGTAACTCTGCCTTTCAAATAAATAAAATATTTTAACAATATACTATTATAATTTAGGTAGAAAGAAAAATAAATGAGTGTTTCAGTAAATGTTAATCAAAGAAAACACCATCTGCCAGAATAAAAACACTAGTAAAATATCAGTATTTAGGGCTAACCTACTGATATTTCCAAAAAAATCAAAGGTAATGGTATGGTTCCATAAACAATAACGCTTACCATAAAATCTGATACCTTGAAGTGGGTAAAGATCAAATGCTCCTAAAATGGCTCTGAAAAATTCTGTACATGAAGGTTCCCAGAACAACTTAAACAATTTTGTGGTAGTTGATAACCTCATAACGAAAACACAAGAAAGATGGCTTAAGGTTCACAGGGGTAGGATTTGCTGAGCATAGGTTACTAAATATATACATAGGTGATAGTTACAAGAAGCAAAATCAAAAATTAAGTAAAGATAGAGATGCCATGAAATCAAATATACTGTAAGAAAAATAATTTTAGAGAAACAATAGTAGAACAACAAGTAGATACAAGTATTTTGGCTGGAAACTATATGACTACAATTACCATAAAAAGGAAAATGGATAAAAAAATAAAAAATGGAAATCAAAGCTCAAGTAAGTTAGCAGTAAAAATTCAAAGAAGCCAGTGTCTGTGCCTATTATAATGCAACTATCATACACTGATAGTAAATATAGAGTCCCATAAAATTCAAATAAGTTAGAAATATGTTGCATGTGACCCAACATTATGGTACAGCAGATAAAGTTACCATCTGTGAAGCAAGCATTCCAGATTGGTGCTCGTTCCTATCCTTGGTGCTTCACTTCTCATCCAGCTCCCTGTTAATGGCAGGAGAAAAGCAGTGGAAGATAGACCAAGTGATTGGGCCACTGCCACTCATGTGGAAGATGGAAAGAAACTCCTGGTTGCAGTCTAGACCACACAACCATTGCAGCAATCTGTAGAGTAAGCCAGCAGATGGCAGATCTCTGTCTCTCCTTTCTGCAATTCTTTCAAATAAGAAAAAAATATTTAAAAAGGAAAAGAATAAAAGATGGCTTTAAAATTTGTGACATGGATGATGTGAATTATCATGAATGCCAAGATCTTTCAAAATATTTGTAAATTATGGTTCTCAATACAACTTAAATAATTTTGTTGGAATTCATGACCTCATAATCAAAATTTAATTTTTTCACAGGTTCACAATGGAAGGATAAACTTAGATTAGGATATTACAGGCCGGTGCCATGGCTCACTAGGCTAATCCTCCACCTGCGGTGCCGGCACCCTGAATTCTAGTCCCAGTCGGGGCACCAGATTCTGTCCTGGTTGCCCCTCTTCCAGTCCAGCTCTCTGCTGTGGCCCCGGAGTGCAGTGGAGGATGGCCCAAGTGCTTGGGCCCTGCACCCGCATGGGAGACCAGGAGAAGCACCTGAATCCTGGCTTCGGATCAGCGCTGTGCGCCGGCTGCAGCATGCTGGCCACAGCGGCCATTGAGGGGGTGAACCAATGGAAAAGGAAGACCTTTCTCTCTGTCTCTCTCTCACTATCCACTCTGCCTGTCAAAAAAAAAAAAAAAAAAGAAGAGGAAAAAAAGGATATTATAAACACACACAGGTAATGGTAATAGGAAATATGAAGCATAAAAATATTGGATGTTTTCTGAAATAAAATATGCTGTGATTAAGAGAGGAGAAATGACCAGCGCCGCGGCTCACTAGGCTAATCCTCTGCCTTGTGGCGCCGGCACACTGGGTTCTAGTCCTGGTCGGGGTGCCGGATTCTGTCCCAGTTGCCCCTCTTCCAGGCCAGCTCTCTGCTGTGGCCAGGGAAGGCAGTGGAGGATGGTCCAAGTGCTTGGGCCCTGCACCCCATGGGAGGCCAGGAGAAGCACCTGGCTCCTGCCATCGGATCAGCGTGGTGCGCCAGCCGCAGCGGCCATTGGAGGATGAACCAATGGCAAAGGAAGACCTTTCTATCTGTCTCTCTCTCTCTCTCTCTCTCACTATCCACTCTGCCTGTCAAAAAAAAAAAAAAAAAAAAAACAAAAAAAAAAAAAAAAAAAAAGAGGAGAAATGAGTAATCCAGTGGGAGAAATAATAGATTGATAAAAGACATATGGAAAATTACTGATAACAGACTATTATAACACATTAAAAAAGGAAATTAAAGACTGAAGAAAAACAAAATCAAAGACAATAGCACTTACCAGAATAGTCTTCAACTTCTTTATCTTTCAAAATTAAAGGAAAATTTAAGCCCCATAAATATCCATAAAATGTACAAAATATATTACCTGGAAGTGGTGAATGATTACCGCATCCTAAGTCTCTCTGAGAAACTGTGTACATGAAAGTTTCCAGGACAGCTTACAGAACTTTTGGGCATCTGATGACCTCATAATGTAAAATTGAAGCAAGATGGCCTCCATTCCACCAGGCAAATACTGACTTCAACTTGGATATTAAAGGTACGTACAGGTGGTAAGTAGAAATTCAAAGAACAAAAAGTTCAAATGTGCTGCAAATATTATGAAATTAAAAGCAATTTGCTGTCATTACTATGAAAAGAAATGAGTACTTTGTTAGAAACAATACAAATGCCAGGAGATAAGAGAAGTTGCCAAAAAGTAGCCCATAAAAATGACATTAAATCTGTATGGGTAGTTATTATATATTCAAAGACAGCAACAAAACATAAAGTTTGCAGATATTTTAAAATAAAATATGGTAATTATCATTAGAAAGAATGGTTAATTTTGTAGGAGCATCTGATTTAAAATGAAATAGCAGGATTATATATTTCCTGTTCTTTCAGAATTTCATTTTTCTAGTAACTAATTTACATTTTTACTTAATATTAAATGTTACAAAATATCAATCCACAATACAGTAGGGAAAATGCTGGTCCTTTCCTACAGGTGGCTTGAACAGCAATGTTCTAGCAATAATCTCAAATGCATTATTAAAAACTTACTTACATTATACAGAGTACAAATATTTAATTAATTGAATAGTAAACTCATTCTAAAATATTAATTAATTTATTTAAAAGAGTACATAGAGGCACGGAGAGCAAGAAAGAGAGAGAGAGAGAGAGAGAGAGAGAGGTCTTTCACCTGCAGATTCACTCTGCAGATGGCCAAAATGGCCAGAGCTGTGCCAATCCAAAGCCAGGAACCAGGAGTTTCTTCCTTCCAGGTCTCTCACACAGGCACAGGGTCCCAAGCACTTGGATCATCTACTGTTTTTCCAGGCCATAGCAGAGAGCTTAACCAGAAGTGGCACAGACAGGACTCAAACTGGCACCTCTATGGGATGCCAGCCCTGAAGACAGTGGCTTTACCCACTATGCCACAGTGCCAGCCCCGTAAACTCATTCTTAAGAGTCCGTAAGCTTTCTCTTTTTTTGTAACTTTTATTTAATGAATATACGTTTCCAGAGTACGGATAATGGATTACTATGGCTTCCC